CTTCGCTATATATCTATCATATCTTCTCCACTTATTTCTTACCTGCTACGCCCCTCTTTACAGCAATAGCGCTCTCGCAGTACCAGTGAAGATTACACAGACTAAAACCCTCCGAGACACATATAGAGAGCGAGCGTCAAAGATTTAGACTGATACTCAGAGAGTGAGAGAGAGCTACAGAGTGAGAGACTGAGAGAGAGTCAGATAGAGAGACAGAGAGAGAGAGAGAGAGAGAGAGAGAGGGAGAGAGTAAATAGAGTAAAGTCTGAGTTTCGTAGATAAAAACAGAGGGAGAGAGAAAGAGAAAGAGAAAAAAAGAGATGGAGAGAAAGAGAGAGAGAGAGAGAGAGAGAGAGAGAGAGAGAGAGAGAGAGAGAGAGAGAGAGAGAGAGAGAGAGAGAGAGAGAGAGAGAGAGAGAGAGAAAGTGTGTCTTCTTTGTTTACCGTAGGCAATGTTTGTGAGAGATCTCTGGGTGATAGAGGAATCATGAACAAAAACAAAATGATGTTGAATGATGATAAAACATAAGTCAATCTGGCAGGCAGTGCAAAGTCTGTTAATGAGATTGACTACATTCACATGACAATTGGTGATGCGGAAATTGCATTTTTTTAAAGTTAAGAATCTTGGCATCTACGTGTGTATTTTGATTCCAGTTAGTCAATGTCGGCTGAGGTAAACCATCTGATCCGCTGCATGTGTTTAGAAATTAAATAAGAAAAATAGTAAAATACGTAATCTAATCAATACTAAGTATACTGCTTTACTAATAACTACCTTAGTTTTATTAAGACTTGATTATTTTAAATCCTTGTTATTAGGAATATCACACTGAAGAAAGTGAAACGACTTCAAACTGCCCAAAACAGTGCTGCAATTTTAGTTTTACAGAAAAGAAAGGGAGACTCTGCTACACCTCTTTTGCGGACACTGCATTTGCTTCCTGTTGAGAAAAAAATCATCTACAAAATGGCCACTCTGAGTCACAAATGCTTGGACGATAATGCCCCATCATATTCATCAAATCTATTGAGACTGTCTATTCCGACTGGCAGTTTTCCCACCTATTAAAACTGAAAACAGTGGGTGAAAGGGCATTTGAGTATCAAGACCCCAAGTTCTGAAATGCTTTGCCAAGTAATTTAAGAGAGATCAAATGCTTTGATTCGTTCAAATGTCAGCTGAAGCAATTTCTGTTTTTAAATTGATATGATGAATATTTAGAGAAATGCTCTTTTGGTCAGCACTAAGAAGTAGCCAAGGAGCAGCAGTACAAAGGCTGCAGAAAAAGTCAGGAGCCCAGAAAAGGGGCAAATTGGAAAGGGGGGGGGGAGACAGAAAGTTAAACTGGAAGCAGACGACAAAACGGGGTTAGAGAGCAGAAAAAGAGTTGAAAAGAGAAAATTTTAGAGAAGAACATTTTCTGTTGCTGTCAGGTTTCGAACCTGGGACCTATTGAAGGAGGCGCGAACCCTGTAACTTCTAGAACACAAGAACCCCAAGGAGAGTGAGGGGAAGAAAGAGACAAAAGGAAAGAGAGACAGAGAAAGAGAGAGAGAGAGAGAGAGAGAGAGAGAGAGAGAGAGAGAGAGAGAGAGAAAAGACCACCAAAAGCAAATATGGAAAAGTAAACATCTTAAATAGGGAAATAAAGAAAAAAAATGGTGTAAAAGAATCGAAGCAAAGACAGCTAATACATGCATTCCAAAAATGAAAGATGTAAATGGGATAAAAGGATGCTCAAAGTCAAATACAGGGTGCATAAGATCAAAAGAATTAGATACTTCAATGGACAAAGGGGATGTCTTAAACAGATGGTCAGAATACATAGAAGAACTCCTCAAAGATAATAGAGACCACCAATACTGATAGCAAAAGTACAATCTACCATTAGAAAAATGAAACAAGGAAAAGCCACAGGGCCAAAAAAAAAAATCCAAGTTGAAGTGATTGTCACGTTTGAAGAACTAGGCACTGGAATAACAAAAGCTCTTAAATTCTATGTATAACAGCGGCAAGAACCAAGAAGATAAAATGACGTCAGTTTTTATAGCGTTACCTAAAACATCAGGTGCCACTGGGTGTGATATGCATAGAACAATAAGCCTCATGAGTCATTTAACAAAAATATTGCTGTGAGCACTAATAGGGGGAAGAATGAGAAAAATCGAGGAAGGAAAAGAAATCAAATGATGTAGTACTTGATGAAGCCCACGTGGGACACTCAATTAAAAAAAACACAATTAGGACACGACAATAAATGCAGTTTTTTGGGACATCTGAAAAGACATAAAGGTTTTGAACATCTAGCTCTCACGTGCGAAATTGAAGGCAAAGGAGGCACAGGTTAGCCCAGAGTAAACTACTTAGAGAACCCAAACAAATGGGTAACGGGGAAAGATCAGGGTGAAGTAACTTTTTCAAGAGCAAAGGAATTCGAATCTAATGGAGAACAATGATTGCCGATGTCTGTCACATGATGATGAGGAAGAGAAATACTCAAAATTTGTTTGTTATATTTCTATACGCAGACATAGATGGAATCACATTAAAAAAAGAGAGAGGAAGAGCGAGAGAGAGAGAGAGAGAAAGAGAGAGAGAAAGAGAGGGAGAGAGAGAGAGAGGGAGAGAGAGAGAGAGAGAGAGAGAGAGAGAAAGAGAGAGAGAGAGAGAGAGAGAGAGAGAGAGAGAGAGAGAGAGAGAGAGAGAGAGAGAGAGAGAGAGAGAGAGAGAGAGAGAAAGACAATGGACGACTGTCTGCAGCCTGGCGAGGAACTTGGAAGGGAGACATGGCGGCCCTTGAGATGTTTGCCACAGCGTATGTTGACATTCCAACGTTGTCTTGGTCTTCCTCTGGCTCAAATACTGGGTGGTGTCTTGAGTTGTAGGGGCTTCAACGTTTGTGACAATGTGTTCGTTCATCTACGCGCGTGGTGGGGGAAAGTAGAATGGAAAAAGCGACGAAATAAAGGGTGTGTGTCTTAGATGAAGGGAGCGAAAGATAGATAGATAGATAGATAGATAGATAGATAGATAGATAGATAGATAGATAGA